CGAGGGCGCGGGGTGGGTCCGGGGACGGCCCCGCGGCACGGGCGCCGGTTCCGGCCGGGCGGGGCGGTCTTGGGCTGCGTTTAGGGGACGGGGTGAGTAGAGACGGGGCGAGTGTGGGGGGCCGCCTGTAGTGGCCGTGATGAGGACCCGAGCGAGGTCGTGGAGCAGGGGGCAAGACACTGGCGTGTCTGTGATCCATCAGTGTGATCTGGGGCTGGGAACGGGGCGAGTGGTCGTTAGCGAGTTGGGGGGCTCTGGAGTGACTCTGTTGTAAGGGGCTGTGGGCGGAGGCCTAGCCTGGAGGCGGGGCCGGGATGGGGGTGCGGGAGCCCCCGGAGGCTGCCCTCCGCGTGTGGGAGAGGGTGAGTGTGCCGTCGGGGAGGCAGCTTGAGGGCGGCTTCGCCGGAAAAACGGACTCTGGTGACCGGTGACTGAGGCGCCTTTGGGTTGGCAAGTGGTAAGGCCTTTGTGGGGAGTCCGTTTTGGGGGTGTTTAGAGGGCTCAGGATTGGCGGGCCGAGGATTTCATTGACTGGAAGGCCTGTGGGTTCGTGACAGTGTTGGATTTCACGCAGGAAGGTTGAGAAATCTCCCCCACTCCCCCGTGTGTCCAGGAAAGACCTCGCTGCGGAGAACCGCCTTGCCTGGATGACCCCGGAACACATGCCCCCTTGTTGGCCTATGACAAGGCCAGATACCAGTCCTCCAAACTCTCATCCTGTGCCTCATCAGCGGCTAGCTGGACTGTAGTCCCTGCTGATCGATGGGTTTGACAAGGGGTCTGGATGCAAGTTGTGAATGAGCGGACAGTGGGGGTAGGAATTGGAGGTACCAGCCTATTGGTGTTAATGCAGAGCTGGTGGCCCTTTTGGGTGATGATTAGGAGGACTGTAGGGGTGTTAGTGAGTGGTGGGTGAGCATGGGGTAGATTAGAAAATGGGGTCTCATGGAAATGAATGGTTAGGGCCCCTGTACGATTAGGGATTGGCCATCCCTTGGGTGTAGTGATGGGGGCTAGCAAGCCTGAGGGGGCTCTGTGAGAACAGTGACTGGGGCACTTTTAGGGTGAGTGGATGGGTAACTGTAGGATTTCACTGACTCCACTTCTAGTCAACAAATAGAATAAATTCTGTCAAGATTATTGGGTAGGAGTGTGGGGGATCCAGTGATGGGTTTCGTGGCGTCAGTGTCGAGAAGCTAGTGGGAATCAGTGATGAGAGGCTGACCATGGCTGGTGTTTGGGGCTGAGTGAGGAAGAGCCTGGAATGATCAGGAATCAAGGGTCCTGTAGATACCTGATTGGGGGTGGGGTTGTGGAGAGACTTTGGATTTCATTGATGGATGCACTCCTGTGTCACCTGGGGGTTGATGATTGGGGGCTTTGCTAGAGGAGTCCCTGGGGATGTGTATGTGTAACTGAAGGTCCAGGAGGGACAGCCTGTAAAGTCAGCAGTCAGGGTCCTGGTGGGATGAGGGGCAAGTGGGAGAAGTGATAGGCTTGTGGCGCTGTGTGGCCTGGAGACTTGTGAGGGCTCTGTTGTGGTCAGTGAATGAGGGGCTGGAGAATTCTCAGGTGGTCAGTGTGGGTAAGTGGGAGCCTCTGAGTGCTGAAGTTCCGTCCGTGGGCTGGGGTGGCAGGGGGCTTCAGTCATTCTGTGGGGGCTTATGTGTGATTGAGGCCATCTTTGGTGATAGGACCTCTGTGAGTTGTGCTTGTGGGTTTGGGTGGGTCCCAATGAGTGTTGGTCACGCATTGGCTCAGGCAAGACTCTCACATAGTGACTTCTGTTGAATGACATACTCTTTTGTTCTGTGGTTCTTCTCAGCCAGCACATCACGTTGTTGGTTTGTGATGGCTCCTTTTACTGGAATATTTCCTTATGTTCTCAGTGACCCTATTGGCCATAAGGCCTCCCCCTTGCTGGCTGAGTCCCTGTGTCCTCCTCCATCCCTGAAGCACCTTCAGCTCTGTCTAGCTCCAGCCCTCTTGAATGTAGTGCTCTGTGATGGGCCTGTTCTTCCCACAGCCTTCCGCTTCCTGCTCACTGTCTGCACAGGGCATGGGCTCGGCTGACTGAGCTGTGTAGGGTTCCTGAGCATGTGGTTTTGAGCACAGCCTTGTCTCATCTCTTTCCAGCCCTCAGCCCAACTTGGGGTGGGTTGTAACTGCCTCGAGGGGCTGGTGTTCTGGCTCTGCTCTTGTTAGCTGCCCTGGGGCAGAACTCGGCAGTTGGCTAACATCCGGGCATAATTTTCTCTCTTCATCTGTGGCTGACTTTTCACTATATCCATTGGGACATTGGAGACCCCCCTCCCCTGCGCTTGAGTGAAACAGTGCCTTTAGACAAAGAGCTCTTGCTGTCCATCTTGTACAGGTACTATACCCTCTCTTTGTTCAGCTTATTTTCTGGAAAGGTGCCTGCTGACCCGTCCACCATGCTCGGGCTTCCTCGCTAGCCTGACAGCCTGCAGAGACAAAGCTCAGCAGCCATTCCTGGACCCCAGGTACAGACCACCAGTGCTGGACAAATCTCCGTTGGCAGGACTGCTATGAGAGGTGGAGTTTGTCCCTCTTGTTCCCAAGTTGACTGGGTACTGTGATTTTTTGGACATTTCTTTTCAGGTATGTTCTTAGGAAGGAAATAACATCTCTGTGCGATTTTATGCCTCTGAAGTCCCTGGCTCTTGTCTCCTCTCTGGTTGAATGTAAGTGACCTGGTCCATGAGCAGTGAAGGAATTCAAGGTGTAAGTATGTGTATGCATCAAGATTTAGTATTTTTTGTTTATTATACTTACCTGAAATCTTAGTTTTGTTTTTTCCAATAATTCTGCCTAAGGTATCTGTTATGTAGTTTACAATCTCTTAAAAAGTTTTTAAAATAGCGGTTGTACTTAGTTATCTGGTTATTTGGCCTCTTGGGGAAATCATTAAATCCAAATCAGCCAACCCAAAAATCTCTTCGCCAAAGCAGAAGAAAAAAAAAACAGTTTTATTGTTACATAAAAATTAAACTTGAAACAAGAATGCACTGAGCTTTGCAGGCAACATGCTGAAGAGACTGCAGAGACAGAAATCTCACTGTTCCCTGCAGTCAGGCGGGTACACCTATTACACACCGGTTCTCAAGATAAAGGATAATCTGTTACACACAGTTCTTACTACACTTTCCTGGTACTTGGGGTGGCCATTGTGTTAGCTTTCGCCTTTGTCCAAAGGAAAAATAGCCTTCTCATATCTTTGTGATTGGGGGTGGTTTTATACCTGGGAGCCAGGTGCCAAAGTCAGGCACTTGGTTAGGGTCCTGCCCTTCCTGAGACTCGGAAGTAGGGCGCCTATCCTCCTGGATGCCATCAAAGAGATAGCTCCTGGGTCCTTAAGAAAGACATTTTGGGTGGTAAACTAGATAAGGCTTATTAGCATTAGAAAAGATTTACACACATTTCAAAGGGGCAGAGAAAGAATGTACAATTACGGGTTTTCTGAAGTAAGTGCTCTTTGAATAGGAGTCGGGGGAGTCTCCCTTTCTTGCATGAGGGAAAATTAATTTTTTTTCTTACTTTTATTTTATGTGTGCCGCTGATGGCCTCTGAGCTTGTAGTCCCCTAGAGGTGTTAGGTGCTCTCCTGCATGCTCTGGGAAGGGCAGGAAGGGGCACCAGGGCCAACAATGTGGACCCTGTGGAACCACTGGACAGCCCTGTGTCCCACCACCCCTTCAAGCATCTCCTCCAGTCAAGGATCAGAGACCCTCAGAAAGAAGCAGATTGGAGCAGTGTCTTTGGGATATGGAGGGGGCTGGGAGATGAGGAAGGGCAGCCCTTCACTCATCAGGAATTTTTTTTTTTTTAAGATTTTATTTATTTATTTACAGAGAGAGACACAGCGAGAGAGGGAACACAAGCAGGGGGAGTGGGAGAGGGAGAAGCAGGCTTCCCACGGAGCAGGGAGCCCGATGCGGGGCTCGATCCCAGGACCTGAGCCGAAGGCAGACGCTTAACGACTGAGCCACCCAGGCGCCCCTCATCAGGGATTTTGATCCGCTTCCATTACTCCTTGGAAATGAGGCCTGGCTGTTCCTGCTGGCTTCTGAGGGAAAGGCACAAACCCACACATGAGTCTCCCCCAGCACCTCTCTTCTTTTCACCGTTTCTGTTGGCTCCTCTTATTGAGGCTTTCTTTTTGCTCTCCGGCTGATTTTGGAGTTGAGTGCCAACACCCCAGTCTATCATCATCTTGATCTAAGAGCCATCATCTGTTTACCATCCTGCTCAGAAATGGGTTGCCTCTTGGGGCGCCTGGGTCTGCCTTCGGCTCAGGTCATGATCCCAGGGTCCTGGGATTGAGCCCTGCATTGGGCTCCCTGCTCAGCAGGGAATCTGCTTCTCCCTCTGCCTTTTCCTTGGCTTGTGCTCTCTCTTGCTTGCGCTCTCTGTCTCTCTCCCTCAGATAAATAAATAAAATCTTAAAAAAAACAGCTTTATAAAAGAAAAAGAAACGAGTTGCATCTTACTCTATATGAGCTGTACCAGTAAGTTCACTTAAATGCTCTCTGAAAATACTGCTGCAGAATGAGTGAGCCAAGGTTCTATTTCTGGAGAGCGTCTTGGTGTGGTGATGCTCCTCCGGAGATGTTTGGCTGAACTGTTGAGGCGAGTGGCTCGAATCTGGCATTTATAGGTGGGACTGCAGGGACTGCAGAGTGTAGCGTGGTGCAGGCCTGGCCTGATACAGACTTGCCAGGAGCTCCTCTTGCATCTGCTTCTTACCTCCCAGCCCTGATTCGAGTTGTTTGATTTCCCAGTAAGAGAGAACCCAGATTAGTGACATCATCTAAAATAAAATTCCCACTGTATCTCCAGGCCATGACTGAGGAACGAGAAAACTCAAGCAAGATAAGAAAGAAGAGGCCTCAGGACTAGGGGTGCTCTCTTAGTTTACAGACATTTGACCAGAAGCCTCTCTCCAGAGCATCAGGACAGACAGGAGTCACAGAACGGAGCCGATTTTCCAAGCCGCAGAAAATGATCAAGTCACAGGTGAGTTCTTTGTTCTCCAACAGTATTTTTCTGTAGGCGTGACAAGACTTATGGGAAAGCTCTTAAATACATTTAAATCATACTCAGAAACAAACTTGGGAAAGAAGGTGTCAGAGAACAAGGTGGGTTATGGAATCACACAAAAGTCTTACAGTCGAAGCACAGATATATAGGAAATAAGGTACTTTGTTGCCAGAGGAGAGGTGTGGGCTGTCCTCAGATATTCCCGGAAGTGGACATGGGAAGGGAAACAGTAGTATTACGTGGTTTTTTCTGACAAAAAGCAGACCAGCTACTCAGTAGAAGCAGGCATTTGCTAATGATTGCTTACAGTGAAGACATTTGGATAGCTGTTTATGTGGATGATACAGTGGACAGAGTCCTAAATAGCGGCCCTATGATACATAAACCCTGCAATAAATGAACTTATTTCCCAGTGCTATTTCTTACAGAGTTCCTCAGTGTGAACTAAGGGCATGAATCTAAGGTAAAATTCAGAACACATAGTTTGCTACAGGACCAAACCAGTGGGCCTGGACCACCCGTCTTACCTATATTCTAGTATTAGGAAAGAAACCTAAGTCATCTGGCAGAATTGATCATTACAAAACCTTCAAATGGCCCCCATAAATATTCCCTCAGTTGGAATTTGGGATACATTTTAGGTAGACATGTTTTTGCTTCTGTTGGCAAAAGCTGGGCATGGGAGTATCTGCCTTTAGTCTTTTTACTTTTTTGACTTAATGGAGAGTGTCACGATGGTTGGGGAACAACATCAGCAGCACAATCCCAGAGGACACGTGGTTCTCCTAGAAGAAAAGGAATTACAGAGGGGACCCCCATCAGGGCCTGCTCTAGTCCACACCTAGGTTAACACGGCCCCCAGTGTGGGCCCTTCTGCCCTGGGGTTTTTAGTCCAGTCTGGATAATGTGGTTTTAGAGGGACTGCTTGGGGCATTTCCTTCCAAATCACTTTGTCCACGACCTCAGATTATTAGTCCACACTTTGTTAGATGTGGGCACCATCTGGGCATGTTTGGCCTGGAAAGTGCAGGAGCAGAGTCTGTCCTCTGCTGTCTCCCCATCGGCCCGTCAGGAAGGCACCTTTGTTGCCCCAACAGTCAGTCTAAACCCAGAGCATCCCCATGAGCTTGCAAAGGCAGCACTAGAAAGTTGTTTCTTTTGGTTTTTCTTTTTTCCAGTAGGAGGGGAAAGCTTTCAGGAGTAAGTCCAAAAAACAAAGATCATTCGTGTCCTCCAACCCCATGCTTCCCCAGGTGCTAGCTTTATTTTGTTTTTGTTTTTCTGTTGTTAGTATCAGTGTGTCCCATTTAGTAATCAGAACTTTTTAAAAGTTCATCTCCTGTTTTCATCCAGACCCTTTGTCTGGAAAGATTGTATGCAAGAAGGACAAATACTATGTAACTTAACCAGAAAGATGCATCATGTTTAGGATTTGGCTGCTAGGGGCACTTGGGTGGCTCAGTCGATTAAGCGACCGCCTTCGGCTCAGGTCATGATCCCAGAGTCCTGGGATCAAGCCCCGCATCGGGCTCCTTGCTCAACAGGGAATCTGCTTCTCCCTCTCCCTCTGCCCCTCCCTCCCCACTCATGTGCGCTCACTCTCTCTCTCAATTAAATAAATAAAATCTTTAAAAAAAGTCAAGCTTATTAGGAACAGATCTTACTTGTATTCAAATGTGTCATCCTGCAGGAGGGTTCGTTTTACCTGCCAGTCTGGGGCTCACCTGGGGCACGAGCTAGAGCCCACGAGGCAGGTTCTGTCTCCCATATACCTGCTGTCACGGCCCTGGCTGTGGCCGCTGCTGTCTGGGCTTAGGGGCGAAGGCTGACCAGAGTGTACATAGGCAGTAAGTCCACACCAATAGCACATTCAGCAGTGAGGACCAGAATACTAGTCCTCTGGTGCCACATCGGTGTGGGGAAGGGCAGCTTTCCCTGGGAGGCCAGTCACGTAAAGCCTTCGGTTTACCTGTGCTTAGGCCTTAATCAGGAGCTTGACTCCTCATGAGTTTTCAGATGTGTAAGCAACATCACAGTCAGGACTTGGAACGGGTCCAGGTCTCCAGAGACATTCCCTGAGTCTCGCCTTCATGCGTCCCGCAGTCCTGGCAACAACAGCTCTGCTCTCTGTCGCTGCAGTTCTGCCTTTTCCGGAATGTTGGAGAATGGAATCACACATATATACCCTTTTGATACTGGCCTTTTTCACTTAAATCTTTGAGATTCATCCATGTTTGAATCAGTAGTCTGTTCCTTTTATTGCTGAGTCACGGAACAGTAACCCATCATATGAACACACCAGTTTGCTCGTCCTTTCGCTTTTGAAGGACATCTTGGTTGCTTCGGTTTTTAGCAGTTCATCTGCATACAGGTTTGAACATAAATCTTGAAGTGAGCAGAAGTTCTCAGTGTACTTGGGCAGGTATGTGGGAGTAGGATTGCTGGGTTGTGTGGTAATTCTGCATTCAGCTTTATGGGAAGCTGCCAAAACCTCTTCCAAGGTCGCTGCGTTCCCACCTTCAGTGCATGAGAGTTGGAATTGCTGTGTATTTGTCACTTTTTATGTGGGTTTTTTAAATTAATTTCAGCAATTCTAATAGGTATGTAGTAACGTCTCATTATAGTTTTAATTCACATTTACCTATTGACAAATGATGCTGAACATCTTTTTTTTTTATTCTTATGTTAATCCCCATACATTACATCATTAGTTTTAGATGAAGTGTTCCATGATTCATTGTTTGTGCATAACACCCAGTGCTCCATGCAGATGCTGAACATCTTTTTATATGTTTATTTTTTATCTGTATATCTCCTTTGGTGAAGTGTGTGTTAAGATCTTTTGCTCGGGCGCCTGGGTGGCTCAGTTGGTTAAGTGACTGCCTTCGGCTCAGGTCATGATCCTGGAGTCCCGGGATCGAGTCCCGGGATCGAGCCCCGCATCAGGCTCCCTGCTCGGCAGGGAGTCTGCTTTGCCCTCTGACCCTGTCCCCTCTCATGTGTTCTCTCTCATTCTCTCTCTCAAATAAATAAATAAAATCTTTAAAAAAAAAAAAAAAGATCTTTTGCTCATCTTTCTTGTTTGTTTGTTTTTTAAATAAGAGGGGTTTTGTTCATTTTAATTCCGGTGTCATTAACATGCAGTGTTGTATTAGTTTCGGGCGTGCAGTGTAGGGATTCAACATTTTCACACATCACTCTGTGCTCCTCACGGTAAGTGTACGCCTAGTCCCCTGGACCTGGTTCACTCCTCCCCACCCTCCTCCCCTCTGCTAAACACCAGTGCTCTGTAGTTAAGTCTGTTTCTTGGATTGTTTCTCTTTTTTTTTTCCTTTGCTCATTTGTTTAGTTTCTTCAATTCCACATAAGAGTGAAATCAGATGGTATCTGTCTTTCTCTGACCGACTTAATTCACTTAGCATTATACTCTCTAGGTCCATCCACGTCATTGCAAATGGCAAGATTTCATTTTTTTTTAAGTTTTTTTTTTTTTTAAAGATTTTATTTATTTATTTGAGAGAGAGAATGAGAGACAGCATGAGAGGGAGGAGGATCAGAGGGAGAAGCAGGCTCCCCACTGAGCAGGGAGCCCAATGCGGGACTCGATCCCAGGACCCTGAGATCATGACCTGAGCTGAAGGCAGATGCTTAACAACTGAGCCACCCAGGCGCCTCATTCTTTTTTTGGTTGGTAACATTCCATTGTGTGTACACACCACATCTTTATCCATGCGTAAGTCAGTGGGCATTCTGGCTGCTTCTGGATCTTGGCTGTTGTAGATAATGCTCCTGTCACAGGGGTGCATGTATCCTTTGAAGTATTGATTTTGTATCTTTGGGCAAATACCCAGTAGCCCAATTGCTGGGTTGTAGGGCAGCTCTATTTTTAACTTTTTGAGGAACCTCCATACTGTTCTCCAGAGTGGCTGCACCAGCTTGCATTCCCACCAACAGTGTAGGAGGGTTCCCCTTTCTCTGTGCCCTCGCCAACACCTGTTGTTTCCAGACTTGTTAATTTCAGCCATTCTGACCGGTGTGAGGTGATACCTCATTTGGTTTTGATTTGCATTTCCCTGCTGGCAAGTGATGTGGAGCATCTTTTCATGTGTCTGTTGGCCATCTGGATGTTGTCTTTGGAGAAATGTCTGTTTATGTCTTCTGCTCATTTTTAAATTAGATTGTTTTTTGGGGTGTGGAGTTGTATCAGTTCTTTATATATTTTAGGTACTAACCCTTTATCAGATATGTCACTTGCAAATATCTTCTCCCATTCTGTAGGTTAGCTTTTAGTTTTGGTGATTTTTTCCTTCGCTTTGCAGAAGCTTTTTATTTTTATGAAGTTCCAATAGTTTATTTTTGCTTATATTTCCCTTGCTTCAAGAGATGCCCATTTTTTAATTGAATTGTTTTCTTATTGTTGAGTGTCAAGAATTCTTTATTCTGGGGGCGCCTGGGTGGCTCAGTCAGTTAAGCAGCTGCCTTCGGCTCAGGTCATGGTCTCAGGGTTCTGGGATCGAGCCCCACGTCAGGCTCCCTGCTTAGCAGAGAGTCTGTTTCTCCCTCTGCCCCTCCCCTTGCTCATGCTCTCTCTCTTTCTCTATCAAATAAATCAATAAAATCTTAAAAAAAAAAAAGAATTCTTTATTCTGGACGTAAGTGGTCTGTCAGATTAGTGATTTTCAAATATTTTCTCATAGTCTGTGCCTTGTCTTTTCTTTCTCTTTTTTTTAAAACTTTTTTTTTTTTTTTAAGATTTTACTTATTTTTTGACAGAGAGAGACAGCAAGAGAGGGAACACAAGCAGGGGGAGTGGGAGAGGGAGAAGCAGGCTTCCCGCTGAGCAGGAAGCCCGATGTGGGGCTCTATCCCAGGACTCTGGGATCATGACCTGAGCCAAAGGCAGACGCTTAACGACTGAGCCACCCAGGCGCCCCGTCTTTTCTTTCTCTTAACAGTGTCTTTCACATAGAAAAAAATTTTAATTTTGAAAAAGCCCATTTCATTGATTTTTTTTCTTAAGTTGATCATATGTTCAGTGTTATATCTAAAAACTTACTGCCAAACCCAGGATCATGCAGGTTTTTTCCTAGAGCTTTATAGTTTTATGTTTTCCATTTAGGTCTGTGATCCACTTTGAATTAATTTTTATATAAGGTATGAGGTATGTGTTGAGGTTTATTCTTTTGCTTATGGGTATACAGTTCTAGCACCATTTGTTGAAAAAACTCCTTTCTTCATGGAATCCTTTTGTCAAAATTCAATTGAGCATACTAAGGGGGGTGTAATTGTAAGCTGTCTGTTCTGTTCCATTCCTCTATGTATTTATCCTTTGACTAACACTAGGTTGTCTTAATTACTGTGGCTTTATCGGAAGTTGTGAAGTCAGGTAGGGTGAATCCCGCAACATTGTTCTTTTTCCACCTTGTTTTCACTTTGTAGCTCCTTTGCCTTTTGTCCCAAAACCCTCTATGTACTTTTTCCTGGCCTCTGTAACACCTTCTTTCCTGGCCTGAAAAGACTGAAAAGTTTTAAGAACATGATTTTTATTCAACTCATCTTTATATTTTGGCACCATTCACAGTTTGGGGAGCTCTGTGACATGCTCCATATGTGTGTCCCAGAGGATCCGTGGAGGAGCCAGCTAGTTGTTACTACGTGGGTGCAGACGCGGAGGGAGGAGAGTGTTGTAGATGTGTAGTCGTGGTTTTGGTTTTGACAGTAACAGGAAAATAGGACTGTCATTCAGCAGGTAGGTGCCAGGCATGCTGGAGGTCTGACACTGCGTGGGGTTCGGCTAAGAATTGTCCCCACATACCAGTGGCACCTTCTTTGAGAAGGACTGTGCTTATTTAAACACAATGTATTCCAGTTTCTTAATGGATAGGTGGATGGATGGATGAGTGAATTCAAAATGATAAATAGCTTAATAACTTTTTGTTTCTCTCAAAGTATAATGAAGGTTAGGATATTATATGAGTTATCAATTGCTATGTAACAAATTACCCAAACTTCAGTGGCTGACAACATAAACATTTCTCTCACAGTTTCCCTGGGTTAGAAGTTTGCCAGCTGTGCTCACATCTGGTTCCCGTTCAGGGTCTCACACAGCCCTGTAATGAAGACGTTGGGCGGGGCTGTGGTCCTCTCGGGGTGCAGCAGGGAGATGATCCCCTCCCAGGCTCAGTAACGTGGGAGTTAGCGGACCTCGGTGCCTCTCCACATAGGCATCTCCACAGAACTGCCTCACCACGTGGCAGCTGGATTCTCCCCGAGAGCATGACAGGGCTCCAAGATGGAGAAAGACTCTCCTCAGTGGAAGTGAGTCCGTAAGGCCTGCCCACGTTCAGGAGGGGAGTTAGAGATGGACGAGGCTGCCTCCCACGCTAGAGAAGAAAGCCTGTGTCCCGCCGTGAGTGCCACTGCAGCTTGAACAGTGATGACGCTTTTCCAGATCTCCTTTGAGGATGTGGCTGTGGGCTTCACGTCGGAGGAGTGGCAGCTACTCAACCCTTCTCAGAAGAGCTTGTACAGAGAGGTGATGTTGGAGAACTACAGCAATCTAGTTTTCTTGGGTAAGAATATTCGTATGTAAATAGTGTGTATCCAGTAATTGTGGGGCCTCTCAGATGTTTACTGATTTTGGATTTAAGTTTCAGATATCAAAAGATTCTTCGATATCTAGACCCAACTGAAAGATTTTGGTTCACTTGCTTTGTTTTATAGCGTTCGTAGTAAATATTCTCCATATTTAAGAGTCCGTCAGCCCAAGGAATTGGGTCCAGGTTGTCTTATGTTTCCAATTAACAGGTTATCAAATTATCAAACCTGATGCGATTTTCAAGCTGGAGCACAAAGAGCCGTGGATAATAGACGAAGAAGTTCTAAATCAGAACTTTTCAGGTGAGAGGTCATCAGGTGCAAGCTGAATCACAGGTTTCTTTCTCTTTCTTTCTTTCTTTCTTTCTTTCTTTCTTTCTTTCTTTCTTTCTTTCTTTCTTTCTTTCTTCCTTCCTTCCTTCCTTCCTTCCT